CGTGGCCGAGACTGCACGCATGCTACGGTTACGGCGGCTGCGCGGTGACAAATGTGTGCGATAGTGCTGCATCATGTTGTCCTGACGCGAGAACCTGCTTGTGCAACCAGGATACAAACAGTGATAATTTTTCTCACCAGTATGGATGCGATAGTGACGTGAAAGATGTCCGCTGGTAGTAAATGCCTTACCACAGCCAATGTGGCTGCATACGTATTTGCGCTTAGCTGGCGTCCGCGGCACAATTTGTTGTGCGCCGGTAGAAATCGCAAGTCCCGATTGCAGTGGCGATGACTTGTGCAGTTGCAAATGGTGGCTCTGAGAAAACATCCGTGTGGAGGGTGGCGGCAGCAGAGGCATTTCATTCACATCGCTGCTGGCCATTGAAGCTGCCTGAATTAGTGCGGAGAGCGAAGGCAACCGAGTAGGCGTTAGCTGTGGCGATGGAAGGCTGCTGGCAATTGATGATGAGTATGTGCGACGCAGACAGTGTGGCGAGTTGCTAGGCGTAGTGCCACGTGTGGTTCCGGGCACTGACAGGCGTAGTCCATTACTGCGCGGGTACTTGCGGCCGCTATCACTGATGAGCGTGCTTGCATTGCTACCCATGTCACTGGCGCAGCAGCTGTTTGGTACTTCATCATTGAGTAGACTGACGCAGCGACCCTCGGCGGTTCTGATTGAAAGAGAGCGAGGCTGTTTTTCTGGCATGTTAATCGCAGACTTTGCCAGATCAGCCAAACTCCACAAACCCAGATGGGATGGTCTGCTGTATTCAATGCTTGGGCTCTGTTCGGGCGACATTTTTATTTATTTGATCGGCGGATAATATGCAAGGGGTGTAAGTGGAGACAGTAGTTGTAATGGAGGCGTGCGATTAATTCAGGCAAAAGAGTCGGAAATGTGTAAAAGTGCGAGAGGACAGGAGAGTGGTGTGTGTTGAGGAGATGCAGCAGCAACCGAGGACTATACAAGAGTGGATCGGAGCGGAGCGAAATAAAGAGAAAAGATGGCAGATGCTGCGGGAGGAAGGGTGTGGAGGAAAAGTAAAACCGTGTAGCGGAATGTACTTGCAAGGTAGATGATATTCGTGTGCGTGTGTGGGTAAAAGGCAAAGTAGAAAGACAGGTGGTGCCAGCGAGGGCGTTTTATAGTACAGAATAGTATCCCTGGGTCACACGGCTGGCGCCTATTTTGCCTTTGCATTACCTATTTTGTCTTTAGCGGTCTGGTAGTCCTGTTGCTTGCCTGGACCGCCAGACTGTGCCTGAGGACCACTCCCTCCTCAACAAGGCTTCTCGCAATGCCTGCTAGCCACACTTAGCGTCTAATAGCATTAGACAGCTGACAATTGAAAGTATCTCTAATGAATGTGTCGCTGCTGTTGCCAATTGTTGGCAGTTCTGCTAGCGTACTTTACAATACGCAGCTCTGCCACACACTTGACACTGACGACAACGCTGTTGCTTGAGTCAAGCTTAACTAAAAATTTGTAGCCAAAGGGGGGTGGGTGAGTCGGTGGGCTTGTAACGCTGAGGGGGGAGGGAGTGAAGGTGGGGATCGGAACAGCTTGATAAAAATACATTAATCCACTAAAGAAAAAAAAACCAAAACAGTGCGCATAAAATAGACCAGTGGTGTAATGAATGTTAAGAAACTACCAAAATACGGCTAACTACAGCCACAGATGGTTCAGAAGCTGTTTGCCACAGCTGCGCTGTTGCTGGTTTTGTATTGTTTGCTTTTTTCTGTAAAATATCTTCTATTATTTCAGACCAGCATTTCTATTCTTCTCTCGTCGAAGCGCACAGTTCAATTGTCAATGACAACAATCGGACTGTTTAGGTTTCTGTTTACGATTTTGTATGGTCCATCAAGTTTGTTTACAGAAATCGGGCGATTGGTGACAGAAAGCTAGCAGAGAGCAACTAATTGAACAGAAGCAAATA